ACGTCTGTGGCAAATTGTCAAAGTGTGTAGCACTCTCCTGTCCTAATCCTATCGGTCTCACCCCTTTTTTTGGCATTTAACTGCCTCAATTGAGTTCTTTCATGTTGTTTTTTAGCCCTGGGGGATAAAATGGGATTTTTGGGCTGTATTTCTCCTCACCGATTAACCATGTCTCGACATTTTCCAAGCTCACTCCTTTTTTCTTTTAGCCCGAGGAGGATTGCACAAGCCTGTGATAGACATCTAGAAGGGTATCTAACTGTACAGTCTAGTCTGAGTAAAACACAATCTAACCCAGGGGTGTCAAACATACAGCCTGTGGGCCAAAATAGGTCCGATAGGTCATGTCCATTGTTTTTTTTTTTAAATGATATTTCAATAAATATGAATATTTTCTAATATACTTGCACTTCCTAGCATGAAAACAAAGTGGAAAAACATGTACTTATTTTTATTTATAAGTAATTACATTATACTTGTACTGGTCTGACCCACTTGACATCTAATCAGGCTGTATGTGGGATCTGAGCCAAAATGAGTTTGACACCCCTGACCTTACCATTCGATTTACATATTTTACAATATATTTTTAAAACATTACGTCTTATGTCCACCATCATACAAAAGTCCACAAAAAGTATATGTAAAAGTATTATCTAGTTTCATTTACTCATTATTTTACTTACTCAGTGTGAGCCTGTTTAGTTGAAAAGAACACTATTTTAATCACAGGAACTGAAGAAAGAGAGACAAAAAGCGCTTCTCAGCGCTCTGTCTGTTTGTTTTAGCTTTTGTTGTCCTGATTTCATTAATCTGACACCATGGAAAAATATGTAGGAAGGAATAGTTTTCAACATTACAGTAAGGTGCCACGGCACAGTCGCTGACAACCACTTCTCACAAAGGATAAACAATAAAAGTATCCCCCCTTTGCCCAACAATTTTTCCTACTTCTCTCGCTGACATATTTGACATTCATGATCAAGTCTTTTTTTTTTTTTGGCTTCAGCACATCACAAACATATGCCTGTCTGGGTGTAAAAAAGCTCATGGTGTGTCAGTGTGTTGTACAAGTGTAATATGTGCAACATGGCCTGCTGTGATGCAGACACTATTTGTCAGACACATGCAAATCATCATCTTCAGCTTCCAACATGCACAGTAGATCTTAAAGTGTCTTGTGCGTTCTATCCAAATTCTACATCTTGCTTCACCCTGCAGCTTCATTTCCTCAAACTCTGCTGCTGTCAGGCTCAACCACCAACACTCTCATACCGACCCCTACCCTTTTTCCACCTCTAATTCTGCCCAACTGCAGCCTTGTCAAAAGCTACATTTATATGACACCGGTATGGAAAATATACGCTCTGTAAATACTGGGACGTGACAAAGCAACTGTAAATGTGAAGCACTTTATGGGCACCCGATGGCCATAATGACATGGCTATGGCTATAAGAGAGCAAAACACAGTAATCACAGCTAATGTGTGACACTGCTGACAATATAACTATGGCTGTGAAGTGCAAAGTGATTGTTTGGATTTCAATGAATTATTGGAGTTGCAGTGTGTGGGGTCAAGTGCGATAAACCAGTGAGAAACAGGATAACAATATGAAGTTTCAGTTTATCCCTTAATATGATTATTTATATTCGGCTAATGTTGTTATGACACTGAAACCTTGGGTGATCTTTGAGACACAAGATGGTAGGGAAGATGTACAAACTGAAAAATGTATACATATATACTTGAGTTCATCACAGTACTGCTTTTGTACTTTACTATATCGCAGATTGCCATTGTCAGAATATTCCTATTGTAACTGTAGCATTGTTAACAGCTAAAGGCCATCTCTCTCCTTGTTAAAAGGAGATTGATGTTGTCATTGGCTCTCACTGACAACATGCGACCTCCCGTCGGGAGTGTAACCATACGTTCAAAGATCACAGTAACATTCGTTCACACTCATTAGCACTTTCTGTGTTTCTGACTCTATCTCGCAGTGGGAAATAAACCTGACCTTGATGTATGCACTGCACTTAACAATTATTTATTTAAATATTTCCTTTCATAAATGAGCAACTACAAAGGTCACAAATACAACAAGATTATTGTCTTTGGTTTGGAACTTTTATGTATTTAAAGTAGGAGGATAATGAATTCTTTATTAGATTTGTGTTCCCATTCTTTTTCATTTCGGCTCATAAGATAGACATTCACTCTTTAACAATGTCCATCAAGGTTAGCTGACAGTAGCACAACTAAAACTTTAGTTTTTCTCTGTGCTGTGTATTCATGTACAGGACAGAGAGGATTAACAAAACTTAGGCCACTTGCCCAGCTGTGTCACCAACACAGTCTTTGAGAATAAATGTTATAGTTAAAAAGATCCTCTTTGGAATAAGTGTTAACTTACTTCTTGGGAGAAAAAGAAGATAAAGTCTGGTAATAGAAAATAACAACCACAAAACAGAGGCACAGCTTGCAACCTTAAAGTTAGAATGCTGATGAACACTTTTTTTTTCTTTTTTACTGGAACTTCTTTTAACTCAAAAGGGAAAACAAGCTCATCAAAAATTCATAGATTTCATTGCAGTGTTCAATTTAACACAATAATTGGCCACATCACCTCTGCTACCTTGCAGTGAAGGGGAAGACCAACGATGTAAGGGATTTAAGTTAGAGGCAATACCGCGACAGACCACGAGGAACTGCTGTAAATGTAAAAACTCTTCATCTAACGTGTGATGTTTTTTTAATGGCTAAGCTAACTACTGTTGCTGGAAGACCCAGTGGGGACACCTGTCACAGTGCATTAGTTAGCCTGATGCCCCTCTGACATTTTTAGTCTGCTCTGTGTCCATCAAAGGCATATCTGCACACACACACACACACCTAAACAAAAGTAGAACACACTTCCACACACAGATGTGCACACACACTGATGCAGAATGAGACACGGATCAACACCCAGACACTTACCCCCTAAGGACTATAAACATCAATTCACGGGACATCAGGCGATGTGTTGCTTTGCCATTGAGTGCGCCTAAACCATGACGGCCATGTTGGCTGTCGACCCTGTCTCTCTCAATCATCACCTCAGTGTGACCTTCTCCTTGTAAGCCCGCTGTGGGCAAGCCTAGACCTTAATGGAGGCCCAGGACATACATCAATCCAAACACCCAGGTCTGCCTAACTATTTGGTTCCTGGCCAAAATAGTGAAGTGTGATTCATGTATTTGGCATTAAAAAATGTTCAAAGATAAAGAGTTTCTACAGTTGCTGCCAGTCTCTACTGGGAATATTTTCATTTCTAAAATAAATCCCACTGGCAAATTATAGGACAAATGACATGGTTCAAAACTGCAATAATCTTCCAAAGGAAGTACCAAAATCTTATCAGGGACAACATCCTCCGTAACCGCCTTTTTAGGTAAGAGTAAATCAACTAAAATTATATTTTAGAAACATCCTATTACATTATATTTCCAGTCAGGTAACTCAGACTTTGGTTTGCAGCACAGACGGAATCTTTGTCCAATTGTAAGAATCATTACATGTGTTATTCTGGCTTTCACTCCTTCACCTCCTGTCGGCAAAATAAAACAGTTTTCTTTTATAGGGCAAAAGCTGTTTTTGCCTGTTTGGCTCAGAAATTGCCATAATTGTATCAATGTGTATTTTCCAACTGTTTTATGAGGTTTTTGCTTCCTCAGGTGTTGCCTTCTCATTGTGTGAAACTTTGACCCTGACTACAGCCCCTACTGGAAGCCTTACACTTTAAAAACACATGCTGGTTTTAACAAAGCGATCATCCAACAACTAGTAAGTGTGTATGCCACAGGTATAAATTTAAGCATTTTATAAGCTAATTATAAGATCCTGAAACTTTTATCAGACCTCATGCTCCTAAGAAAAAACAAACAGATCCTACATGAAATAGCAAACAACAGCGGGATCTTTAATTCTTGATTAGGAGCAGAAGAGAAATTACTCGTTTGGCTAAAAAGTTATAAAAAAACAAAACATATCCACATCGACAAAGTTACTAGCAAACAGCTAGTATCAGGGCATCAGAAACTGCTTTATTGTTAGCTTCTTTTTGATGGCTTCCTTTTGGAGACTATGATATAAAAAGGGTGGCATTTCCATCATCAGTGCAAACATGAGCTGTCAGGGTGTTCTCTGTTGTTGCTTTGATACATGCCCCACAGTGTGGACTCCCTGTGTTGATGGATGAGACAGGGACTACAATACTCTCAATGCCACACAACGCCTAAAATAGGGGATCACTACTGCGACAAGAGAATGCAACTGCCTCAGTGCTGCACGTCAACCTGAGCGAGTATCATGACCAGAATTACAAACCAACGCCCTGTCTTTTCCAACCGGCACCCTACAAAGATGTTTTTAAACCAGGCACAAACAATATAGACACCAAAGAACCACTGAGATCTCACAACTCAGCGATACATGTTTTTGGTTCTTAGTCTTTCCAGGAAGTATCCACGGCAGAACATACATGTCTTAGAAAGTGGAAACTCAACATGTCTTCCTTGCACCAACCATGACCTGAGATCAAACACAATGGAGGAGGAATTAAGAGCAAGTGTCTTTGTACCACAAAAAATAGTCTCGTAATTTGGGACAAAAATGAGAGTCCATGATTGTAGCACTAATCAAGAGGCTTGGGGAATTAGCACACTCCAAGCGGTGATTAATCAAGTGCCTGGCCTCCTTTTAAAATCAGTTATGTGTAATGATTTTGAGTCTATCTTGGAAACAGAAATTTATAAACACCTCTGTTAATTTTATGACTGTGAAGAATTCTCCTTCATTAAACATTGTATTATACTGGTCTTGACCAGGCAATCGGTTTTTCACTTTTATAGATTTCTTCTCACTCCATTGTGTTACTCAGTTAATTCTTCAGTTTTAACACTGTTGTAACAAACATATTAATGTATCTATCGTCCAGTTTTGGATCTCTGTTCCTACCTGAGGGGAAACGTTCGATGACAGGCTGATTGTCCACCTGTAAAGTGGCATTGCCGCCACTGCGTGTGAATCGCACCACGTGATATTTGCCGTCGCTCACCATCACCGCACTCTCTTCGATGATGATGTCATCTGTTCCCACGTTAAAGATCACACCAACCTTTCCTCGTTCCTGTGGACAGAAGAGACGGAAGAGATAATGTGTGAGAAAACCCATTCGGTCAATCACACGTGTGAATTTAATCTTACAAATCCCCATGTGTCTACGAATCGCAAAGATCCTGACAATTGTTGGATAAAATAAGATGGATATTGAGCGCACAGAACAGAACATTTTCTTCCCATGCCTTTTCTCTACTTTTTAATGCTACACACAGCACTTTTGTCATTACCATTGTGTCAAACATAAAAATAAAACTATTGGGAATATTGGCGTTAGAATTAGATAGTTAGACAGACAGACAGATAGATAGATAAATATATAAATAAATAAAAAAAAGATATACGTATATGTAGTTCCAACAGATATTATAGGGTATTACAACCAGGTGTACAACTAGTATTTCTAGGAGTTACTATACATATTATTAGATAGGATACATACACATATATGTATATATATATATATATGTTTACATATAAACTATAAAATATGAGTTGATATACCTATACACACACACACACACCAAATATATATATTTTTAGTTGGTGTGTTAATGACAGAGCTGCAACCTCACTAAGAAATGTTGAGAGACTTCATCCTCAAGTCATAATAAGGCCACGATCATATACTCTGTCTCTCTCTCACACACACACACATCACTTGGGTAAAGTACAGTTGAGGACTCGGGCACCTTTTCTATTCGTCAAACCGACGATTCCTCCTACTTCCCATCTATAAGTGTCGACAGCCACCCACTTCTGTGAGTTTATTACAGTCAATCGCCTACTCCACTCTAGCTTCCTTCCATCTTTCTACTCTCGTCAGTAGTTCCTGTCCTCAGTCCCAGCAAAGGTCAAAGTCATTTACTGAGTTACTATGTGCCAGGGCGGCGTAGTTCAAGGATGGGGAGATAGAGGGAGACAGGTGTAACGCACAGTAACATTACAGACAAATTCTCTGTCTACCACTAAATCTTCTGTAGCGCCCATAAGACTGTGCTTGGAGACCGACCTGGAGCTCATTGTGGCCCAGCTGGGAACATAGGACACTTGCTGGTTATTGAGTAGGTCAAGCCAATTTGCAGAAAGGGTCTATTTTACACCTTATCTCCCCATTTCAACTCATAGTGTCATCAGCTGTGTTCATTAACCTTACAGCCGTCTGTATGCCTAGATAGCCTGAAGCTAATGTTTGGCTTAAACTAGAGATATCCGATATTATCTTTTTTGCCAATATCGGATATGCAAACTTAATTTCCGATTTCGATATCAACAGGTACCGATGAAGCGGGGCAGTGGTGGCCTAGTGGTTAAGGAATTTAGTGGCCGCTGCTCACTAAGGGGATTCTCAAAGCAGTGTTTCTCAATAGCCCCCCTAGGGGGGTGTGTTTTTTCTCCCCCTCACCACCCGAATTGAAGTACCATTGAGCGTCTTTATAACTTACTCGCACCAGCATAAAATGAGCTGCAATATTGCCTACTAATAGCTTTCACTTTGACATACAGTCATTTATCACAGAAACTATTTTTAGGGCCACCCATAGTTTGGTGAAACACAGGCATTGTGGTATTGGGTTTCTATTATCACAGGACAAACCAATAGGGATTTATACAGATATTACATAATTATGCTAATATCAGGGCGATAATATCGGTTCGGCTGATATTATTGGACATCCCTAGCTTAAACCTAAATTTCTGAAGTAACTAAGGAAAAACGGACACAGTTTTAATGTTTGAGTGTATTTAAAAAAAATAAAATAAAAAAATTAATGAGCAGTAGCATAGGCCACAACACGGTCGTTCACTGAATACAACCACGATTAGGCTTTTAATTGAGCGATCTTAAATGACTGCATCTCACTGAGTGCAACCGGACAAGATTTATGGGTTTTTAGCCATCAACAAGTCATAATCAGTTCAAGAGAAAAAGTAAACGGGGGGGAATCAATGTGGGAGCACAACAGGAAATAGATACAGCTGTCCACACTCCTCCATAAAGATCAGAACTCAGTTAGATGTGTATAAGTTACTCTGAGAGGAGCCTGATGGACTGCTCAACAGATGATCTCATTCTGCAAAGAGGTTTGAGCGTTTTAAATGGCCGAGTGCTTCCAGCTTCTACAGTAAGGCACCTAATCAATTGATTCACAACCGTGGACGGATCCTTGAAACCCCTTACTCCCTTGTTCTTCTCTGTGTAGGCAAAGAATCCAATGCTTTTTCTAGAACAGGGGTGTCAAACGTGGGCCGAAACCAGCCTGCTATGTGCTTCAATCCGGCCCTCCCGATGAATTTTAAAGGAAAAAAAAAAGCACAAACACTGCACATTTGTGATGTTTTGTGAAATTATATATCATTAAATATGAAATTTTTCTGATATACTTCCACTTCTTTGAATGGAAACTATGGTGAAAACCATGGACTGTTTGTTATTCATAGGTAATCATGTTATGATTGACATCTAATCAGGCTGTACTTGGCCCCTGAACCAAGATGAGTTGGACACCCCTGTTCTAGAATATGGATATGAATGATGTCAGAGTGATTAGTTGGGAAGGTGTGAATGAAAATTTCATCAAAACTGTTACTATTGATGACACACAGTGAGAAGGAAAAACAATCAATCAAACAATCAAACCTCCTCCTGGATAATTAATTCAGTTTGAGAGGCCAAAGCGGTCTCACACAATGCTATTATGGACTCAAAAGCAGTGAAGAAAGAGTGAATCTGGATGATATTTACAGAGACATCAGCATTTGTGTTACGCAACATTACAGTTTCTCCTGGTGCTGAAGGAATGAATTGAGGCCATTACGGTAGGAGGCCGGTGGGAACCAGCGCAGTTTTTAAAAATGAATTTAAGACACAGATAATTACATTTTAATGGCCATTTTCCCTTAAGCGAACATAGCTCTGGAAACAGAACAGGGCTAAAACCCTTTGAATGACTAAAAGCCTGCAAAAGTGAGACTGGCGCCAGTATGTAGGTGACTGACAAAGAGCCCTAGCCTCACTTTACAGACATTATAGCTTCTGAACTAGTGCTTAGCAGCCCTTAATCTGCTGTGGCAGTTCTCTTTGTGCAGGTCAATCAGTGGTATAGGTGGGGGGCCTCCTACTGTATAGATTTTCCGTCACGTATGATTTGATGCTCAAGTGCCAAGGGAAGGCATAGATGAACACGTCTCTGGTCATAAGTCTCACGGGCCATAAGTATCAAGGACCTTTAACGCAGCAGCATACAGTAATATGACATAAAAATGTGAGATGAAATCTAGTTTAATGGAATGTTAATTCAAAATAAAATTATATGCAATTCAATTTGCTTTGTGATTTTTACTGGGTGAGAAAAACTGTAATGACTAACATGCAGAGATGTTGTTTTGTCTATATTTGTGGGGTTTTTCTTACTCTTGACAATCTTCTCTACACTGGGGTGGGGGGTGGGGGGCACAATGGGTTTTTAGAATCTAACAGTAACATACAACAACAATATAACAGATAGATGGAGTGTTAGTGTGAACCTAGATAAATGACATGTAAAAGCCATACATACTGTTAATGCTTTTAGCATTCTTTTCTTTGACCTACCTATTTTTACTGAAAGGTTAGACATTTAAAAGCCGAAAGCTGGTCTACCTTTCAGGTTTCACATATTAAACCAAATCTAAACAACTATAGAAACTATAAAAAAAATAGTTTCATGTGTTTAAGAAGGTTTCTCCATATCCTGGCTCTTAAGTTTTCCAAGGGATCACATTTCTCTGATGATCTTCTAGAGTTGACTGACTTCAGACAACAATACCTGTAAATATATATATATATATATATTATTGACTGTCTCCTTCCATTTTCTGAAAAGCAAAGGTGAGACGAGCTTCAAAATTCTGCGCCACAGCCAGAACGAACAGCGCTGTAAGGAGCGAATTTCCATTCAAAATATTTGAACATGACCTTGTAGCATGCAAAGGTGCATGGAGGTAAATGCTGTCGGCGAGAGTGGAATGAAAATGAGGAAGCAGCTGGCTTGTGTGCGTCAGGGTTATCGGCAGCCTTAGACAGCCCAAACTGATTGGGCCGAGCAGTAAAGGCAGGAGAGCAAGCGGAGGAGGAGTAAAGGGCAGAGAGTAAGTACGATGAAAAGACAAAGGGAACCTTGATGATCATAATGTGCCTGGAGGTGATTTGACATCTTTGAAACAACTTGAAAATGTCAAGATCAGTCTCTCCTTCCATTCAACTGTGAGCAGTCAATTAAAAAGAGAAAGACGGGAGAAAGTTTGAGTTAGCAGTTACTAATGGTTTCATTTCTTCATCATTTGCTACCACGACTGAATGATCTAATTTTTAATATATTAACACTTTTCTCCCTTACTTGTTACTTAATACTTGCGAGGAAATTAAAATTTCAAAGGTGAAACAAGACAGAAAGACAGCCATGACAGCCAGGATTACTAAAAGGTGGATAGGCCTTGGGAAAAAAAAAAAAAAAAACCCTGCCGCTGTCTAAATCACTCAAGGTGTTTTGCATTTTGCTGTCTCAACATGCTTCATGAAAGGTGAGGGGAATATGGCTTACCGGCAGTCTAATTTGCTGATTAGGATGATTTGTTTTGACACATTTCATATTAATAGTCCTGTGGGTGGCGAAACTGCAAACAATTCATCAGCCTCCTTCTCATTTCCTCAATAATGATCTATCACAGCCTATATCTGCTTATGGTTAACTTGACATGCCAGGGTAAATATGTAGAACTGCTGGATTTGATTGCTTATAAACACGCCAGTAAAGCGGTGGGACGAAAAAAAAAAAAAAAGATTGATCAATCAATTTGTACATGATGCCCAACAGAAAAAGCAATTACACCTGTTCTCTTCTTCAATGGGAAATATACACCTCATACACACACGTATTATAAATTCCCAAATGTGGGACATTAACAGAGCTGGGACAACTTACTGATTCAGGCAGTGTGACAGCTAGAGCGAGCATTCCTGTGGTGTCT